ATATCTATCCTTGTTTTTGACCATGTTTTAACATTTGTGGCCTGAACTGAAGGCCTACCAGTGATAGTCAAAGTTCAACTGATCTTTAATAAACAGCACATTATAGAAACTCTGCTTGAAAAGTTCACAACATGTGTCTTGTTATGAGTGCTTCCATGTTGAAATAACATCATGGAATAGTTCCTGGGAGAAGTTGAAGCTCTCGAGAAATGTTTAAAGGACATTCAAAAGTTTTATCCCACTTGGAGGTTGGAAATATCCCTGTTCATACTTAGTGATGAACATAGCATTAGACCAAGAGCTTCTTATTTGGGCATATATTTGGGAAGAGAGTATATGAAGGCTTTGAACGTGGCTCAGCCAATCAGATTTTAGATTCACAACTATGTGTTTTATAAACCTCATTTAAATTCTGCACAGTGTCTCTTAAGTTTCATTTGAAGTTTGAAGTAAAAATGCTGAACATGAGGTTTACTGCCTGACCCAAATGAGGGCAATACATTATTTAATAGCTCTTCTCTGTGTCTTCCAATAGCTCCTGAGGTCTTTCAGCCCACGGGTGAACAAATCTCAGCGCGTGAAGCGAGACTCCGAACAACAAAAGCGTGAAAGAACATGTCAGAAGAAGAGTCGTGTCTGTGTTATCTTGAGGGAAACTGGCGGCTGAGCACTTTCCAGATGTAAATATATCGTCCATGGAAAGTACAAAGTTATTAATAAGTTATTTCCCTTATTAAAATGAGATGTAATGGTACTCCAGCCAACTGTAACATTTCTATAGTGCTGTATAAGACTTCTACAGGAATGTATAATATTCCTGTTGTACTTTCAGTGCTGTATAACATACATTTAGTAAATGATATCAATTGTCTCAAAGTACTATAAGATTCTTATAGGAATCCTATAGAAATTGCTGCAGTGTTACTCTAGATTAGAACTATGCAAAAAGAGACCACCTCTCATTTATTTAATAAAGCAATAAGGAACGAGAGGCTGTGCATCACTGCGATTTTATCAGGAGAAGGATGTTCTTAGGCACAACGCGAAGTGGAGTGCCTAAAACTCCCTTCCCTGTGATAAAATCACTGTAACGCACAGCCTCAAGTGGCTTCTTGCCTTTATAAAACAGCGGCCAGCATAAAATATGATAAAATACAAAATTTTTTAAAAAATAATTTAAGTTATAAATAATAATAATCGACATAAACAAGTATTCCACCAAGAAATATAGTTTCTTTAGCATATGGTATCACTGCCAAGCAACGATGAGGAGAATCCACAGGTGTTTTTGTCCATCATTCCACTCTAAAGAAGCTGCAAAGAAATGATGCTTTCAGAACTATGGATTGACCACCTCAGAGTCCAGACCTCAAAATCATTGAATGTGTTGTGGGATTATTTGGATTGTGAGAAGCAGAAAATGATAAACCAATTTCTAAGACTGAACTTTGGAGGTGTAAAAAAATATTGCTGCAGATTTCTTTGGAAAACTGAAAGAAAGACTCCAGAAAAGAAAAGTGTGGGTGGATGTTATTAACTTAATGGCTGTTTTGACTGGAAATTAAAGTAAATAAAAAGTGGTCTCCGACTTTTGCACAACATTGTGGCCGTCTTCTGTCCGCTGTTCCAATGTATTATGTTTCTTCCATCAACAGGCCAACACTGACGCTCCTCCTTAAATCTAGGTAATTATATTCTGTTACTTTAACAGTTGGCTGAACTGACTCCAACACTCGCTGCCTGCCATAAATTATTTTCCAGCTCAGTACCCAAGGACACCCAAGGGGCCTAGTCATGAGACGAATTTGTTCTGATTGACTGTACAAATGTTTCAGAGTGCTTTAACCACTTCCCCCCACCCACCACCACTGCTTTCTCTTTCTGTGAAAGAGTGGAGGAAAATGGCCATTTACCTTCAGGAGATATAAATCTATGCATTAGGCTACGAAATGAAAGGAAGGTCAGATTGCAGTTCGAGAATCATAGAGATATAAGCCTGCTAGCCTGTTAGCATCATGGTACCATTTGAAGATGACAAAGAGCATCATGTAAAGGTCCTTTGTGGTAACTCCAACACACTGGGGTTTTAATTACTGTGGGTGATTTAGGTGTTAATCTCACGTCCTGCAGCTTTATATCTTACACTTTTCATGTATTTGTTTTCTGTAAATCCACATTGGGTTTAATGTATCATTTCCAATCATTATGTGGCCAAAAGTATGTGGAGACCTGACCATCACGCCTATATGAGCTTGTTAGACATCCCATTCTAAATCCACTGGCATTTATATGGAGTTGCCACCCTTTGCAGCTATAACAGCCTCCACTCTTCTGGGAAGCTTTCCGCAACATTTTGGAGAGTGTCTGTGGGAATTTTTGCCAATTCATCCAGAAGAGCATTTGTGAAGTCATACACTGATGTTGGATGAGAGGACCTGGCTCGCAATTGATGTTCCATTTCATCCCAAAGGTGTTCAGTGGGGTTGAGGTCAGGGCTCTGTGCAGGCCACTGGAGTTCCTCCACACCAAACTCATCAAAACATGCCTTTATGGAGCTTGCTTTGTGCCCAGGGTCATGTTGGAACAGGGAAGGTCTTCCCCAAACTGCTGCCACAATGTTGGAAGCATATAATTGTTCAAAATGTCTTGGTCTGCTGTAGCATTAACATTACCCTTCACTGGAACTGAGGGGCCAAAACTCTGAAAAACAGCCCCAGCCTATTATCCCTCCTCTACCAAACTTTACTGTTGGCACTATGTATACTAGGTAACGTTCTCCTGGCATCCACCAAACCCAGATTCATCCATCAGACTGCCAGATAGTGAAGTGTGATGCATCACTCCAGAAAACACTTTTCCAGAGTCCAGTGGCGGCGCGCTTTACACCAGACCAGCTGACGCTTGGCATTGCACATAGTGATCTTAGGCTTGCGTACATCTGCTCAGCTGGAAACCCATTTCATGAAGCTCATGACGCGAAGTTCTTGTGCTGATGTTGCTGCCAGAGGAAGGGTGGAACTCTGTAGTGAGTGATGCAACAGAGGACAGGTGATTTTTTATGTGCTACGTACTTCAGGACTCAGCGGCCCCACTCTGTGAGTTTGCATTGTCTACTGCTTTGTGGCTGAGCTGTTGTTGATCCTAGATGTTTCCATTTCACAGCAATAGCACTTACAGTTGGCTCGGGCAGATGTAGCAGTTCAGATTTCACAAAAAAACAAAAAACATATACTTAAAAGAAAATTTGCATTCTTTTTTGCGTTTTTTCTTTGAAAAAAAGTTTCCATTATTTTCAGGAGACTCACTTTCATTCTTTTCATTGAAATCCAGCCATACCTCCAAAATTCAGTGTTAGAAGTTGGTTGCATTTTCTGCGTCTCACGATCCAAGTAATCCCAAACACATTCAGTGATCCAGTGATCCAGTGAGATCTTGGCTCTGGGGTCATCTTGTTTCTTCTCCTTTTCCTTCTGAAGTCCTTTTACAATAAAACCAGTCATACTTAATGTTTTTGCATGAACATTAGATCTAAACAGGCTGATTTAGTTATTGTGCTTTTAAGGCTGATAATGTTGTTAAATTCAGCAAATCAGTAGAAGTTGTGTGCTGATGTGGCCATTTTTCACCCTCTCTTTAGCCTGGGGGTCTGCAACATGTGGCTCCAGAGCTGCATGTGGCTCTTTTACTGCCCTGTTGTGGCTCCACAGCAGAATTAGATTTGTAGGTAATAATAAAATAATCCTCCTTTACAGTAAAATAAAGCTCTGCTGATTGTTCAACACAGTTTAACAGTAAATGGTCTTAAACGCTGGAGTTAATGTAGAACTGCTAATTCACCATTTAACCCTGAAGATTGGTGTGCAGACTGCTGGTCACCATAGCAACACAGACAATCTCGCCAAGCTAGTAGCTAATGAAAAGGCAAAGAGAAAGATTTAAGATGAACACTAAAAATTTGCGAAACTGAAGTTAGTTTTTCGTTTGAATTTTCCCGTTCCACCTTAAATGGTGCAGTGGTTACATTCTGGTGCTTCAGACACCATTTAAGGTGGAACGGGAAAATTCGATCAAGAAGCTGGCGAATGAGAAGCGACTTCAGCCTCGTAAAATATCAAACGTTGAGAGACATTTTACAAGAAACTGTTCTACTTTTGCAGAATGTTTCCTGCTGGAGATGCGAGAAAAGCAACTATAGCTGAGCTAAAGCTTAAAGCAGAGCAAAAGTAAGTCTGCCTTTTCATTTATATCATATTTTTTAGCCTATACCTCTGCATTTGCACATACTGAGACATATTTACAGTCAAGATGGTAAAAATGGACATAAAATGTTGTGGCTCCCAGAGTGGTTTGATTTTTGTTGAAAGGACAAAATGATTCTTAACATTTGAGTTGCGACCCCTGATTTAGGTTCTTAAAATAAATAAACAGGTTATATTTATTATTGTACCTTTAAGAGTGATATATGTAAATGAGCTTATTGAGCTCTGTTCTCAATGGCTAGTCTGTATTGTGCCTCATTCAAAAAATAAATAAATAATAAAAAAAAACGTCCAGGATGAAACACCCCTTATAACGTCAGCATGAGTGTTAAACCGCTGCATACTGAATAGATAGAGGCGTGTGAATGAGTCAGTTTTGGAGGCACCACAAAAATGAGCTTTGAAAAAGGCAATTTTATAAATTAGTATTCAATAAATGGACATAGAAACTGAGGATGCTTTGTATTCACACACCACATCTAACTGTTTCTAAAAAAAGCCTTTCTACACGATGAGTTCCCTTTAAGCCCTCAGAGTCGTGAGAGAGAGAGGAGAGAGAGGCGTGTGGCTGAGAGAGAGAGAGTGAGAGAGTGGGAGAGATAGAGAAAGAGAGAGAGAGAGGGAGAGCAAGGCGCGTAGCTGAGAGAGAGAGTGAGAGGGTGATTGAGAGGAGAGAGAGAGAGAGGGAGAGCGAGGCGCGTAGCTGAGAGAGAGAGTGAGAGGGTGATTGAGAGGAGAGAGAGAGAGAGAGAGAGAGAGAGAAAGAGAGAGAGAGAGAGAGAGAGAGAGCGGGAAAATCCACACAGGTTGCTCCACAGTGGAGGAGAAAGGCTGCATCATCGTCGTTGTTCTCGGTGTTTGCAGAGCGGTGCGGGTTGATCAGCGGCTCTGAGGTGAGAGACCTGTTGTTTATCAATGAGACTCTATCAGTCAGTCACAGCTCTGATCCTCTCAGACGGGTTTTCATGGAGAACTGTGAGAGGATGATCAGTGCAGTTTATTCAGGATCAAGCTAGTTATTTACACAGAGTTTAGTCTGTATGTTCAGTTTATATATATATATTTTATATATATACTGATGGATATTGTATGTTTTCATAGCGCAGAGCAGTAATAACAGTGACTGGACATACAAATCCAGTTTTGGATGTGAGAGAAATTTATTCTCATTTTTGCTTATTGTTAGGCAGGTGACCTTCACCTTTGACCCCAGCTGTACTGTAATGCAGAAATGATATTATAGAGCTGATATTGAGGTGTTTTAAACAGAACTGTGCATAATAATATGGGTCTCACTATGTATGTGTATATATATATATATATATATATGCACTGATCAGCCATAACATTTAAACCACCTCCTGGTATCTACACTCTTTGTCCATTTTATCAGCTGCACTGATCATACAGTTTCACTCTGTAGTTCTATAATTACAGACTGTAGTCCATCTGTTTCTCTGTATACTTTGTCACCCTGTTCTTCAAAAGTTTGACTTTACATTTATATATTTATATATATATATATATATATATATATATAATATATATATTTTATTGTTTTCAAACAGTTTTATTTGAAGTGGTACAATGATTGATTTGATCTAAAGTACAATGATTGATTTCCGTTCTCAAACAGTTCTGATACCAATTGTTTGATTTGACTTTCAGTTTCATCTTAAATCGTATACTTTTTGAGCTGCTTTGCTGGTGCAGTTTGTCTGTACCTAATTGTTCCCAAGCCTGATCTCTCTGCACAGCGTGGATTGTAAAAATCGCCTTGAAATATCGCAGTGCTATATTTCTGTCCAATGATTTACCACCACTACACTGGACACAGATACGGAGGATAATACAGTGCTCTCAGGCCGTCTCTCTGTTAGTGCCCTTCATAGGGATGTACTCGGAGGAGTGGAGCAGACTGGGGCAGAGAGGAGAGAGGGGCGTCATATCAAATCTCACCTTCAGCAAACTAGCAGACGAAGACACGAGAGAGAGAGAGAGTATACACAGAACGCAAGGTAGGACTGTGTTGGAAATAGTAAAGTAATAAACCAGCAGTGGGCAGTTTAGTATGTATATATACATCACACCTACAGGAGCTTTTATGACATCCCATTCTAAATCCATAGGCATTAGTATGGAGTTGGTCCCAACTTCGCAGCTAGAACAGCTTCCCCTTTTCTTGGAATCTTTCTACAAGATTTTGGAGTGTCTGTGGGAATTTTTGTCCATTCATCCAGAAGAGCATTTGTGAGGTTAGACACTGATGTTGGACGAGAGGACCTGGCTCACAATCTCCGTTCTAGTTCATCCCAAAGGTGTTCGATGGGGTTGAGGTCAGGGTTCTCTGAGTGCCAGTCAAGTTCTTCCACACCAAACTCACCCAGTCATGTCTTTATGGAGCTGCTTTGTGCACTGGGGCTCAGTCATGCTGGAACAGAAAAGCTTCTTCCCCAAACTGTTCCCACAAAGTTGGAAATGTACAGTTGTCCAAATGTCTTGGTGCTGAAGCATTAAGATTTCCCTTCACAGGAACAAAAGGGTCTAAGCCAACCACTGAAAAACAACCCCATAGCATCATCCCTCCTCCACCAAACTTTACAGTTGGCACAATGCAGTCAGGCAGGTAATGTTCTCCTGGCATTCGTCAAACCCAGACTCGTCCATCAGACTGACAGATTTTTGTGCTGATATTAAAGCCAGAGGAGGTTTGAACTCTGCAGTCATTCATCAGCAGAGTGTTGGAGACTTTTATGCACTATGCTCCTCAGCACTCGGCGAACCGCTCTGTAACTTTACATGGTCTGACACTTCATGGCTGAGTTGCTGTGGTTCCTAAACGCTTCCATGTTTTTGATAATACCACTCACAGTTGATTATGAAATGTCTAGGAGAAAAGAAGTTTCGTGAATGGTGGCATTTAGAACGTTTTTCATTTTTTCACAATTTTTTTCACAAACATGCCACTTTATTAGAAACACCTACCTTGTACTTCCATTCACTGGACACTATTAGAAATACCAATCTTATACTCCCATCACTGGCCACTTCATTAGAAATACCCGCTTTGTACTCCCATCACTGCCCACTTTATTAGAAACACCTACTTTGTACTTCCACTCACTGGTCACTTTATCAGAAACACCTACCATGTATTCTTACTCACTGGCTACTTTATAAGAAAGACTGCATGGCTAGGTGCTTGATGTTATACACTTGTGGCAATGGGACTGAATGAAAGACCTGAATACAATGAGTAAGAGAGGTGTCCCAATATATATATATAGACACCACTGGAATTTGGAAGATATTACAGTTATACAGCTATCAGTAACAGCTAGTCCACAGCTTGTTTAGCACACAAGGTCTCTTTACTGTGCCATTGTTTGATGCAGCTGATGACTTCTCAGGCAGTATGAGAGGAAACCAAAGCATGCCAGTTGGTCTGGTGTCCATGTCAGGCTGAGGCTAACCCCAGAAGGCTGGCCATTTCTTTATGTCTGCTGCCTCAAAAGCAAAGTGGTATACTTCAGATAAAACAGACTAAACAGAGTGAGGTGATGGAGGGACTACTGAGTTCTCGTTTTCATTTGAAACATGACAGAAACATCCCTGACTCAGCCACTCAGTTAAACGGTCTAACGTTAGCATGGTGTGCACTGTTTGTATGTTGCATTATTAGCATATATTTGTGGCATACGTTATGACAATGCTCAAACCTGAGGAAGAATTTCAGCAGGTATACCCCCACTACTACTACAAGACATGAGGGGCTTTGATCTACAGTGACCTCATATAAGGGATGATGTTAGGCATGATGCAAAAAACAGCAACCGAATATGGCAAGCAGTGTGCTTTGTTAGACAGAGATTCTGTTTTTCAAATATTTGCATAATTCAGTGGGTGAGATGTAAACAAAGTCATCCAGAGTGGTTTGACCTGAAATGCACCTAATGCCAGGCGTTAGCTAGACGGGTCTGAAGCCCCTAGTATTGAACTGTGGAGCAGTGAAACTGCATCGTCTGGCTTGATGGAGCTCCATCCAATACCTTTGTTGTGTTGTGATCCAGAACTAATCATCCGGCACTAAAGCTCACTAATGCTATTAGGGCTGAATGCAATCAAATCCTCACAGCAATGTTCCAACATCTAGTGTAAATCCTTCCCAGAAGAGTAGAGGCTGTCACTGCAGCAAAGGGGGACAAAAACTGGGTTTCAGTACTTTGCTGAACCAGCCAAGACTTGAATATGTGTTGATTCAATTAACTGATATTTCCTGTGCAGCCTCAGAGGAGCCAGTACCTGATGACCGTTACCATGGTATCTACTTTGCAATGCTATTGGCCGGTGTGGGATTCCTGCTACCGTACAATAGCTTCATTACGGATGTGGACTACCTCCATCGCAAATTTGCTGGTATGGTACGACCATAATCATAAGCACTGTCTTTCTTGTACATCCGGTCACTGGCCACTTTATTAGAAACACCCACCTTGTACTTCCATTCACTGGACACTATTAGAAATACCTACTTTGTACTTCTACTCACTGGTCACTTTATTAGAAACACCTACTTTGTACTCCCATCACTGGCCACTTTATTAGAAACACCTACTTTGTACTTCCACTCACTGGTCACTTTATTAGAAACACCTACCATGTATTCTTACTCACTGGCTACTTTATAAGAAACACCTCCCATGTATTTTTACTCACTGGCCACTTTATTAGACTCACTTACCTTGTAGTTTTACTGACTGACTTTGTTAATAACCTTTTACTGATTTTCCGTAGTTAACATACAATCAACATTCTCTGCATATCTCTGACAAAAAGGAGAATGACCGGATGGGGGCTAAAAAAAGCCTTTCATATTGATTTGGAGGAAATTTGGCCCACTCGTCTTTGCAGAATTGCTTTAATTCAGACACAGTGGATGGCTTTTGAACATGAACTGCCCATTTAGGGTCCTGTTACAGCATCTCAGTGGAGTTTGAGGGGTGGATCAAGACTTTAGATCACTCCAAAACTTTAACTTTGTTTCTTTTGATTTGTTGAGAGACGTACTTACTCTTGTGCTTGTCTTGCTGCATAACTTAGTTGCACAGACTGTTGACCAGACGTTCTCCTGCAGGAGTTTCTGGTGAAGAGCAGAATTCACGGTTTAGTAAAGTGTGGCAAATTACCCATGCCCTGAAGCACAGCTTCACACTACCACCACCATGTTTCACTGTTGGTAGGATGTTCTTAATGTAGAATGCTGTGTTAGTTTTACACCAGATTTAACAGGAGCCTTATCTTCTAAAAAGTTCCACTTTTGAATCAACAGTCGATAAAGCATTATTCCAAAAGGTGTTTTTTTTGCCAAGTGTGAGATGAACCTTTATGTTCCCTCTTGATTAGCTTTGGTTGTTGTCTTGCAAATCTTCCATGGATGCAATTGTTGCTGACCTTATCTGAGGTCAGTGTGGCCCGTGGCTCCTTAGACGTTTGTCTGGGTTTGTTTCTGACTTCCTGGATGAGTCATTACTGTTCTCTTGGAGGAACTTGTGTAGGCAGGGCAGTTTTGGTCAGGGTTCTACACCGTTACGTTGTCTTTGTCTTATGTAAAGTTTAGTTTGAAGATCTGAAACATTTGTTAGCTAAATTAGCCTCGTAGCTCCAGTGCAGAACTAAAGAGTTAAACTTCAGACACCAAACATGTTTAGCCTGGTTGACTGCGTTATACGTATGTATACTGCTCTCTCTCTCTTACTGGGGGTCTCTTGGTGCCTCTCTCTCTCTCAGGCTCCTCTATTGTGTTTGATATGAGTTTGACGTATATACTGGTGGCTCTCGGTGCTGTCATCCTGAACAATGCTCTGGTGGAGAGACTGAGTCTACACACACGCATCAGTGTTGGTAAGGACGCACAAACACATACAAAACAATGTGTTCCTAAATAATATTCAATAATGTTGAATAATATTAAATAATACGCCCGTTCACAAACAGTATGAGCTTCTATGTGTTATTAGCTTTGCTTAATGTGTTTGGAATTACCTCCAGTCCTTTGGCATTTTTCTGCCTGTATTTGTAGAATAACTTCTGATGTTTGACATTTTGCCGTGTGTGTGTGTGTGTGTGTGTGTGTGTGCGCGTGTGTGTGTGTGTGTGTGTGTGTGTGTGTGTGTGTGTGTGTGTGTGTAGGATATCTCTTTGCACTGGGTCCTCTGGTGTTTGTGAGCGTGTTTGATGTTTGGCTAGAAGTGTTCAACTCCCGGCAGTCCTACGCTGTAACTCTTGCTGCAGTTGCCATCGTTGCCTTTGGATGTACAGGTTGTAGCACACACACACACACACACACACACACACACATATATATGTATATATATATATATACACACCAATCAGGCATAACATTATGAGTTTCTATGCTCATTGTCCATTTTATCAGCTCCACTTACTATATAGGAGCACTTTGTAGTTCTACAATTACAGACTGTAGTCCATCTGTTTCTCTGCATACTTTGTTAGCCCCCTTTCACCCTGTTCTTCAGTGGTCAGGACCCCCATGGACCCTCACAGAGCAGGTACTATCTGGGTGGTGAGTCATTCTCAGCAAGGCAGTAATGATGTAACTGATGTGGTGGTGGTGTGTTAGTGTGTGTTGCACAGCAGCACTGCTGTGTCTGATCCACTCGCACCAGCGCAACACTCACTAACACACCACCACCACGTTAGTGTTACTGCAGTGCTGAGAATGGTCCACCAACTAAATAATCCTTGTTGGTTCTGTGGGGGTCCTGACCATTGAAGAACAGTGGACAGTATGCAGAGAAACAGATGGACTACAGTCTGTAACTGTAGAACTACAAAGTGAAACGATATGGTAAAAGGAGCTGATAAAACAGACAATGAATGTAGAAAAAGGAAGTGGTTTCAATGTTATGGCTGATCACTGTATATACAGTATAGTGTTTAAATTTAAATTTATTGAGACCTAAATATTCCTATTTTGACCTCTGCAGTGCAGCAGTCTAGTTTCTATGGATACACAGGGATGCTGCCGAAGCGGTACACCCAGGGTGTGATGACAGGAGAGAGTGAGCTGAAACTTTTGCTACTACAGCAACAATAAATAATAATAAAATAGAATAAAGTAAATAAAATGTACTGAATTTCAGTTGAATTTTGCATGATGGATTTTCTATTCTCTTTTTTACAGCTCATAATTTATTTGCTCATTAATGCTGCCGATTAAACAGTGTGTTTAGATGTGATTCCTGGATTCCTGGTTGTTGCTGTTTTTGTTATTGTTTATTTGTTTACTTGCCCAGGCACAGCGGGAGTGATTGTCTCTCTGAGCCGGATCTTCACTAAGCTGCTGGTGGAGAATGAAAAGAACAACACTATTGTTTTTTTCCTCTTCTCTGTTTCCATGGAGACCCTCTGCTTCCTGTTGCACATGCTGGTGCGGCGGACACGCTTCGTCCATTATCACACCAACCGGGCTCGCCATGGAGACACTTGGGTCAAAGGTCTGATCGTGGCACCAGCACAGCAGCAGAGAAGCAGATATCAGATACACCGTGACATCAGTACAGAAGACGAGGTAACGTTATCATACATATATACATAACATAAAGATAAATACTGCATAAAACCTCCAAATGGGTGGACCGTTGCTCCAAATAAGTGGAACATAGCACCGAAAGGGTGGACCATAGCACCAAAAGGGTGGATCATAGCACAAAATGGGTGGACCATAGCACCAAAAGGGTGGATCATAGCACAAAATGGGTGGACCATAGCACCAAAAGGGTGGATCATAGCACAAAATGGGTGGACCATAGCACCAAAAGGGTGGACCATAGCACCAAAAGGGTGGATCATAGCACGAAATGGGTGGACCATAGCACCAAAAGGGTGGACCATAGCACCAAATGGGTGGACCATAGCTCCAAATGGGTGGATCATAGCACCAAATGGCTGGACCATAACTCCAAATGGGTGGACCATAGCACCAAATGGGTGGACCATAGCTCCAAATGGGTGGACCATAGCACCAAATGGGTGGACCATAGCACCAAATGGGTGGACCATAACTCCAAATGGGTGGACCATAGCACCAAATGAGTGGACCATAGCTCCAAATGGGTGGACCATAGCACCAGATGGGTGGACTATAGCACCAAATAGGTGGACCATAGCTTCAAATCAGTGGACCATAGTTCCAAATGGGACAGTAGCTCCAGATGGGAGGACTGTAGCTTCAAATGACTGGACCGTTGCTCCAAATAGGTGGCCCATAATTCCAATTGGGTAGACCATTGCTCCAACGGGTAGACCATAGCTTCAAATGGCTGGATCATAGCTCCAAATGGGTGGACTGTAATTCCGAATGGGTGGATCATAGCAACAAATGGGTAGAACATACCACTAAATGGGTGGACATAGCTCCAAATGGGTGGTCCATAATCTAGTTTGGTAGACCATAGCTCCAAACGGGTGGACCATAGCTTCAAATGGCTGGATCATAGCTCCAAATGGGTAGACCATAGCTTCAAATGGGTGGACCATAGCTTTAAATGGGTGGACTGTAACTCCATATGGGTGGATCATAGCTCCAAATGGGTGGACTATAGCACAAAATAGCTAGACCATAGCTCCAAATGGGTGGACCATAACTCCAAATGGGTGGAAAATAGCTCCAGATGGGTGGACCATAACTCCAATTGGGTGGAAAATAGCTCCAAATGGGTGGACCATAGCACCAAATGGGTGGACCATAGCTCCAAATGGGTGGACCATAGCACCAAATGGGTGGACCATAGCTCCAAATGGGTGGACCATAGCACCAAATGAGTGGACCATAGCTCCAAATGGGTGGACCATAGCACCAGATGGGTGGACTATAGCACCAAATAGGTGGACCATAGCTTCAAATCAGTGGACCATAGTTCCAAATGGGACAGTAGCTCCAGATGGGAGGACTGTAGCTTCAAATGACTGGACCGTTGCTCCAAATAGGTGGCCCATAATTCCAATTGGGTAGACCATTGCTCCAACGGGTGGACCATAGCTTCAAATGGCTGGATCATAGCTCCAAATGGGTGGACTGTAATTCCGAATGGGTGGATCATAGCAACAAATGGGTAGAACATACCACTAAATGGGTGGACATAGCTCCAAATGGGTGGTCCATAATCCAGTTTGGTAGACCATAGCTCCAAACGGGTGGACCATAGCTTCAAATGGCTGGATCATAGCTCCAAATGGGTAGACCATAGCCATAGCTTCAAATGGGTGGACCATAGCTTTAAATGGGTGGACTGTAACTCCATATGGGTGGATCATAGCTCCAAATGGGTGGACCATAACTCCAAATGGGTGGAAAATAGCTCCAGATGGGTGGACCATAACTCCAATTGGGTGGAAAATAGCTCCAGATGGGTGGACCATAACTCCAAATGGGTGGAAAATAGCTCCAGATGGGTGGACCATAACTCCAAATGGCTGGACCGTAACTCCAGATGAATGGACCATAACTCCAAATGGGTAGACCGTAACTCCAAATGGGTGGACCATAACTCAGAATGAGTGAACTGTAACTCCAAATGGGTGGACCATGGTGGTCTTAAGTTGTTATTATGTGGTCATTGATTAAAGAGAACCTATAATTGACCTCTGTCTCTGTGTATCTAGGACGGTCCTCTCTCAAGTGCTCCTGGAGAGGCTGATGCTCCTAACATCTTAAACAGTGATGGAACATATGTCAGATTTGATGTTCCCAAACCTAAAGCCAAGAGGACGTGGACCAGTGTCAAAGGTGAGACCATCGTCATCATCAGTGTCACCATCATCAGTAAGATCTTCCTAAATTACTCTGGGATAAAAGATAATTAACACATCTAGTGTTTAATTTGTAACCTGCTTTGATTAGATGGTTTGGCCTTTACAAAAAATATTAACTTGTAATTAGGAACCTGGGGCCGTATTACAGAAAATTATTAATATTAATATCTATAATATATATATTAACTTAAGATCTGACAGGTCAAGATAAGACATTTCACAAATTTGTATTACAGAAGCAAATCTGATCTTAATCTAAGAATCTTATCTTATCTTATAGCATCTTATCTTACGTTAGGAAATCTTAACTTACTCGATTGAAGTCGACAATCAACTGTCGTGTCTGTTACCTAGCAACCGACCATAAGCGCACAGCTGAAACATAAACACGTAATCAAGCTAGTTAGCCAGACAGCTAACGTTAGCTACCGTTACTGAAGTAAACAAGGTCGAATAAAACTAAATCGCGATAAACTGAAGTTTAATAATGTTGTGGCCACGCTTTGTGTGTTTATCACAGAGTCGCGGACACACGTTCAGCTCTGTCTCCTCAGTATTCACCACCATCACTGTGATATTTTATCTGACGAGTTTACATCAACAATAACACACGAAGGTAATAAGGGGGGGGCAGTGGAGATGGAGTCTGCAGCGTCTGGGGCTTTTAAACGCTGTTAGAAAAACAATCACAAGTCAAAGCACCGTTTTCAGTGTAGATAAATGTAGCGTCATTATGCTGGTTGTAGTAACCTGTGCTGCCTCTCACTGCATAAAACAATAGAAAGAGACAGTTAAAACAGAAGGTAAGACACTCTGGGTTTATCTTAAAGTTAAGAAAATATTTAGGATATTTTGGCAACTTAGGATGTTTCTGTAAAACCGTTTTCTCATCTGGAAATAAGATTATAGACATAAGAACTGTTGTTCTGTAATGGCTTCTGTCCTAACTTCAGTCTTAACTGAAGTTGCCATGACAACAAAGCAGATCTCAAACTTGAGAATTTTCTGTAACATGGCCCCATATTTCAAAGTCTTCACTCCATGACTTCAGCATCTTTACCTGTTCTTACATTTTAAGAGTTTGTTGACTTTTAATTTGATAAACAGTGCGCCCTAGTGGTGCATCAGAGCAGCCATAATACTACCAGTTCTTGTGCATTAGTTTGCTTGCTGAAAGTGGTAATTAGAAAGTGGTAGTTCACAAGAAAAATGTTAATATTTATTTTTTTAGCAAGCAAAGTAATACAAAAGAACAGGCAAGATTATCACTGCTTTCGTGCATTGGGTTTAGACATAATAACAGCATTTAGAGATCGCTTAATTTAATTAATTAAATAGTATTAAATGCATGAAAATAATGAACTGTTTTTCGTCAGCATTAAAGGGATCATGCAGAAATTTTTGGTTTATTTGGTCCAAGTCCAAATGTAGAAAATGTGGATTGAACCCCTTAAATAGCCAAGAGCCACTGGGGGTCCATCCTTCCATTCCTCACATTGATAAGAGTAACTCAGACAGTTTGATCTGTTGTTAGTGTAAGTACTTAAAACCTTATTATGTAATTTGTCTGAGCAGTTAAGGGATTAAACACTGAAGGTGTGAGAATGTGGACAGCGTATATGTTCTCTCTCTGTTAGATGTGATGGTGCGGAGGTGTGCGGTTGCTCGTGTGATCTGGCCCTACATGCTGTCCATCTCCGTGACGTACTTCATTACGCTGTGTCTGTTCCCGGGGCTGGAGTCCGAGCTGCAGAACGACACGCTTGGAGAGTGGCTGCCCATCCTCACCATGGCGCTGTTCAACATGGCCGACTTTGTGGGCAAGGTGAGAGCGTGGGCTGCTCAAAGGTCACTCGCTCAGCAGTAGCTCAGCCATGGCCAGAATGTGAATCGGTGCCAACCAAAGAGCTCTGGCACCTTTGTTTGGTGTGAATTGCAACTGGGCCTGAGCTTCAGGAGTTGAAATAAATGGAAATGCAAATTGTTTCCAATGCAGTCTTCATAAAAGCTGCTTAATTATCCAATATGATAAATCGTACTGGCTGAAAACAGACTTTTTAGACAGATTTTTGATGAACACCCATCAAAAAGTTGTTGTTTTTTTTGTTACTACATGAGGGGGCACATTAGTTGGCATGCTTAGCTCATATCTTGTACCAATTTTCACAGTTGAATAAGTACATATTCAATATTTTCTGCTGTTTGTCTGATGCTTAACTAAATGCCAGTATAAATGAATGTGTGAGTCATATAATGCTTTTAAGTAGCCTAGATTATTTGCCATTATTTATCCTGTCAAATCAAAAGTGATTTTAAAGAATTTTGTCCTAAAATGTATTGACTTAATTAAGCCATTAAGATGGAAATTTTAATCACATTTTCACGATATCAGTGTTGAGAACTCCATATAATTATCCCCCACCTCAGAAATCTCATTTTAACCACTGGTGATAACCACAGTGGTAGGGGCACACATTATGCCATCCACATCAATATTCGTTTTCCATTGAACTTTTTAGATTGTACTTTTAATTAAAGCCTTTTTAGTGTATTCAGGTTTGTCTATACCAAAGATATACATCATGCTCCCATATGTTCTCACTGAGATGTCTTGTTTCCTACATCCCAAATTTAAAAAGTGAGCACCAGTAATCACGCAAGTTAGAATCTGCTACGCGCATCAAAGACCGTAAAACTGCTGACACTCAAAAACCAGTCCATCTGGTGGGCTTTGCGCTTTCGTGCACCAGCATCTACTAGATTTCCAGCTACAAAAACAATGGATAAAATAACCACTGCCCATAATACTGTGATGTACTGTAAATGAATGTTATGTTCTGCTGCAACTGTATAAAACTCTGATATTACACATTGTTAACACCACTAGCTATGTAACTAACTAGGCTGGTTGACTATGCCAGCGTTGGTTATTGATTAGAGGTTGTGGCTAGTTAGCTAGCTAGTTGATCACTTTAAGATCAGTTTAAGATGAAGTAATATGTGATTAAGACCTTAACAGTAGCTAACAATGTAGCTGAGGGTTTGAAAAGCAGCTAAATAGTGTCATTCTATTTGGTTTTATTGATTTATTCTTTTAGTCTGTAGATGCGAAGCACCTCATGGACTTAGCTTGTAAGTCACTCACTCACTCATGTTTAGCAGGTTGAATATTGTCCATAACAGTACTATTAGCATTCAAACAGCTTTTGGTGCTTCACATCAATGACACTTTGTTTCAGAAGAAAAAAAGCATGTTCATGTTTTTTTATGTCTCTAGAATATTATCTTGCTGGGTTTCTACTGTGTGGGTATTAAAATAAAGTGTTGGTTCATCTATATCCTTTTGAACACCAAGGTTAAAAGGTTAAGAAACCTTGTCCTATTGGACTTAAATTTACAGTAATATACTTAAATGTATCAGTCTAAAAAGACTAAAACTGAAGTTTTCCTGAAATGTGAGACACAATGTGAGACTTTTACCCGACAGATGTTCGTCCCTAATCAATGTCCTTTTCTTGTCTCTGTCAGATCCTGGCTGCTTGCCCATATGAATGGGGTGGTGTGCAGCTGCTGGTGTGTTCTTGCGTTCGTGTCCTCTTCCTGCCCCTGTTTGTGATGTGCGTGTCTCCATCACAGCGCCCCCTGCTGGCTCACCCGGCCTGGCCTTGTGCCCTCTCCCTACTGCTGGGCATCAGCAACGGCTACCTGGGCTCTGTGCCCATGATCCAGGCTGCGGGCAAAGTGCCACCACAACAAAGAGAGCTGGCAGGTGAGCTGAGAGACAGATGAAGAGACTCTAGGCGTATTTCCATCAAGGTTCTAAACCTTTTGAGGAGCTAAAAAGTTCTAGAAGAACTTGTACAAGAACTGCACAGTTGCTGAATTAGTTCCAGTTTTGAGTTCCCTGCTGAAAAGTCCTAAGCTGACACCAGCTTTTGATACTAGCTGGTTTGATGGTAGCCTATGCTGGTCAACAAGCTGTCTAAGTTCAGCTGGTTGACCAACATAGGGAATGTTTTCATTTGATGGTTTAGCTGGTGGTATTTCACCAAGAAAGACTTGTACTTTAGCCAGATAACTCAAGCGTCAACACTGAGGACTGTCCAGTAGGAATGTCCCTCAGCTCATGCCCTATTGGACAGGCTTGACTTTGGGCTTAAGTTATCTGTCTAAACTGAGTGAATTGACCCCCCCGGTCAACCACCTTAGCCATCTTAACTGGTTTAAGTTAGCCGAGCTGTGTTCACCACCAAACTGCGAAAAATATCATCTTTACTTAAAATAACAAGCTAAACAACATAGTTATTGCATCATATTCATTTTGCATGTGGTAAATTCCCAATTTACCTACACACAATGACATTTTTGGGTGATTTTTTCATTCCGAGTTGACTCTGACTCTTTATAAATGAGCAGGGCTGTTATCATGGTAGCTAAGCTAATGCTAACCAAGTTAGCAGCACTGTTTAACATCTAGGTGGTTTTACATTGAATGATGCTTAAAAAATCATGCAGTGCGTTCCAGAATTTGGTGACCATGTAAGTGAAATTAAATACAGATACCACGGTATGTTTGGAGATGCCTTTGGATGGGATCTTATCTATGTGTTAGCTATGAACAAGTGGTCTCCAACCCTGGTCCTGGATAGCTACCTTCCATAAACTAGGCTCTGCAGGAAGGTAGCTATCCAGGACCAGGGTTGGAGACCACTGCTATGAATGAAACTGAGTGGAAACTGTGGTTTTACTGGGTCATTTTTTCATTTACCTCAAGAATCTGTCTTTATAATTTGTGTTTTATATCTTTATAATTTGTGCTTTATATCTTACCCATTACTCTGAGGTGTTTCAGTATAGGTTCCTGTATAAATGTGACATTACAGCTTAATTTAGTGTGAATATCTTTGCATTTACAACTTTGTTACTGCAAATAATTATTATACATTTTACTTTGTCCTTTATCAGTTTATTAGCTAGAACCTGTCATCTCAGTGTAGTTTAGCTAGACGGTCTTGACACATCATCATTTAATTTAGACAATCTTTGTACTTTTTTAATTTTACCAAAAATAATTACACAGCACTTTGGAAATTGTACTTCATACGTACTCCACTGATATCTAGAACCTGCTTGGCATTTCAGTGTATTTTAGTTAAACAGACTTGAAATCAAATTATTAACATACTGAATAATTATCTGGTACTTTGGAGTTTGGACCTCACACTTACCTGGTTAATACCTACACTCTTTAAAAAGATGGTTCTTCAAGGGTTCTTTAGTAAAGACAATTGTTCTATATAGAACCATGAACACTCAAAAAACCATTTGTATGCTTAAAGCGTTCTTTGCATGGTGAAATGTTTCTTCAGATTGATGGAGAATGTGTATATGGTTCTATATAGAACCTTTTTGAAAACGATAACATTCTTGTAACTAGAAAAGAACCCTTTTTGGTGCTGCACAGAATCCTTTTCAAAAAGCTTCTCTATAGAAACATAAACAACACACTCTCCATCAATCTGAAGAACCATTTCACCATGCAAAGAACCCTTTAAGCATGAATAAGCAATGCATGGTTCTACATAGAACTCATGGTTCTAGATAGAGCCATCCCCTTTACTAAAGAACCCTTGAAGAACCATTCTTTTTAAGAGTGGGACTGTAAAAAAAAAGCAATTTCCAAGATTCCTGGAACTACGATCCAGGAACGTCACTGATTCCTTCAGTATCAAAAGTTCCTGAGAAGGTTCCTGTGGTGGAAGTGCTCCTTTCCCAGATGTGCAGGACTGAAGAAGCTCATTTGAGCTGAAATGAACCCTGATTTTATTGTTTATTCTTGCAGGGAACACCATGACTGTGTCCTACATGGCTGGCCTGATGCTCGGCTCTGCAGTGTCCTACTCAACCTTCAGCCTGACCTCACGCTCAGCACACACGCGCACACTCAAACTCAACTCAACACTCTCACTGCACAGCTACACACCTGCGTTCTGACACTTCTCACGCCCACTCTGAACACACTCATACACACATACAACCACACACACTCATTAGCGCTGCAGCAGCGCTGCTAAAGAGACCAGGACGATGTCCACGGTCTGGATCAAATAAACATAATTCAGCCAATTCCTGCTGTGCTCGTTTTTCTAGCTAGTGCCAGTGTCTATTGTAAAACATGCATCATCACGTCAGTGAGTGCGTGTACATGCACTAATAATATGATAATTGCAAAAAATCAGATTTTGTAAGTAATCCGAACTTGAGTAATCAAATAATGGGAAACTCCAGGTCTACATGAGTCAGACAGTAATCAGATTTCTGCTTTGCAACCAGCTAGTAAACTCACAGAAGATGATGTGGCGTAAACGCAATGTAGTGTAAAACTAAAACTTCATGCTGTGGCTTTTTTTTTAATTGCACCACTTTACCTGAAAATATGAACATATGTCATCTAGAGAATGAAGAATATTTAAATCCTTCATTTCGTCAAGCATGTATTTGGTTTCGGTGTCACTCCAAAAGTGTTTTGTTGTGTCTCACAGCAATGCTGCTCACTTATTTCCGGTACAGCAGTCTGTTTTCACACATGTGCAAGCTGAGAAATACGAAAGAAATCAGAGTAAGAGTTTACATGCACTGAGAAATCGGACTGTATTGAGAAAATACAATTTTATGGACACCCTGCAGTGTCACCCTACAGTTAGATCCATTGTTTTGAAGTAAATGTGTCCCAAAGTCTGAAAATCAGAGGGTAACACTAAGAAATGTCAGTACTGAAACACACATTTTCAAGTTTTGTGTTTTATAAAAATGATTTTATGTATGTACAACTGTTCAAAGCTGTGTTTGCTAGTCATGTACTGGCTAGCATTTTTTGAGTTTTGCTCAAAATTAACTAAAATTGTCACTACAGAGACCTGTTTGCGTTTTAATGATCCAGTAAATAACTGAGAGCAAAACACAGACAAATACATTTTTATCATTTCTTGAAATATTGACTTAATATCTTGAATTAATTACATATTCTTGAAATATTGTTGTGATATCTTTATAATAATGATTTTCTTCACAAAAGTAACTACTTAATTTCTCAAAATACTTACCTTATGTCTCAAAATTATTATTTTGAGAAAATAATAAGTACTTTTGAGATAGTAAGTTGTTATTTTGGGATGATAAGTCATTATTGCAAGATACTAAGTTCCAACCATATTTTGAGAAAACAAGTCAAAATGTTTTACATGTTGCTGCCAGAAATAGAGAATAGCAAAGTGATTTATTTCTTCTTTACCTGAAATAAACCTCTACACTGAGAAAAAAGACATCTTGGCAACTTAGTCAACTTAAATCTAGTCAGTATATCTAATATTTCTTAGTTTAAAACTGTTGTAAGAATAACATGTTCTAAACTTATTTTAAGTTAAACTGTCTCACTATATTGGCAGATAATTTTGCTTGTTTCAAAAAATTTGTTAGGATTAAGCAAAATTGTCTGCCAATATGCTGAGACAATTTCACGTGATAAAATTACTTAAAACAAGTAAAAAAAGATCTGAAATAAGTTAAAATGTTTTATAATATTCCTAAAATAATCTTAAAATGAGAAATATTTGATATCAACTTCATTTAAGAGGATTTTACTTTCAAAGATATTGCCATGCAATTTTTGCATATGTGTGTGTGTTTTTGCAAAGCTATGTAGATAATATTATCCACCCATTCCTAACAGGTAGATATAGCCTTGCAGTCTCGATAGACAAACACTGGCAGTAGAATGGGTCGTACTGCTGAACTCAGTGACTTCATACATGCCACTGTCATAGGATGTCACCTTTGCCACAAGTCAGTTTGTGAAATTTCTCTCCTGCTAGATCTGCCCCTGGTCAGCTTTATGTGCTATTATTGTGAAATGGAAGCACCTCGGAGCAACAACAGCTTAGCCATGAAGCGGTAGACCACGCTAAAAGAGGAGGCATATTGGGGTTGTTTTTCAGGGATTGACCTAGGCCCCCTTTAGCATGAACATTCTGGACAATTACATGCTTCCAACTTTGTGTGAACAGTTTGGGGAATGCCCTTTTCTGTTCCAGCATGACTGAACCCCAGTGTACAAAGCAAGGTCCATAAAGGCCTGGCTGGGTGAGTTTGGGATACCTTTGGGATGAACTAGAATGGAGATTGTAAGCCAGGCCCTCTTA